TAAAAACTCGTTTTGAAATTCTTCATCATGAACAACACATATAAAATGCTATTCATGTAGCAAGTGTTTCCTAGATTATCTAATCCAATTTTCTTCGCAAGATTTGCTTCGCCCACTGATTCGTGAGGAAAATTATGTTCCACAGAATCTGCATCAGAACCATTTCTCAAGCTGCAATCGATCCTTCCAAGTGATGAAGGGTTTCGTAGAGGGATCCATTCGGCTCTTGCTCCGTGAAGCTCTTCCACTGAAAGGGAACCAAAACCACGAGGACTGCAGCTCATATTTGGGGGGCAAGAATGACCTATGTTGACCGCACTGAAAAAGAAGAACCCATGTTTCGACTTGTTTTGCAGAGATTTTAGTTCCGTACGTACTGATCTCATCAAAACAATGTGAAGGAGGAATAGTCCCAAAGACCGAAGCAGCATTACCACGTTGAATAGCAATACTAATTCTTTCTATCAAAAAAGAGGTAGAACGGTAATCTTTCGTTGCTTGGCCTGATCTCCTTCCGAGTTCATGAACTAATAACAGAGACTCCGGGCCATGAACACCAACAGTTTCAATGGATGGATGGAACAGATAGTTATTACCAAGATTTTGGTATTTTTTTCGTTTTAATTTTTTGCCAGACAATGCTGCAGTTCCAACATATTTCGAATTTAATTGACACTTTTCAATTCAACAATCAACATTTTTCCAATAAAAATGTTAAAATATAGGAATATTGGCAGCATCAGTCGTACCAACTATGTCATTAACCTCAAAAACGTAAAATATAGATATATATAACCAAAAAGCAACTCCGTACATTTTTTAACATTTTTATTGGAAAAATGTTGATTGTTGAAGTGAAAAGTGTCAATTAAGGAGGAATAAGGTGTAAAGGTGACCTAGTGAATAAATGCTTGTGTTTTGAAATAGTTTATCTTGTGAAAAAGAAAGCTGAAAAGTTGCCTTTTCTGAACTTTGAAGGGCCGTAGGTAACTTTGTAAATAAGGGAGAGCACCGCTTTTTTCTTTCGGATTCGTAGTCTACGCATCGAAATACGAAAGTACACTCAAAATTTTTTTCAAAATCGCCGAGTGCCCTCAAAACGAATATTAACCAAAAAATCAGGAAATCTTCCAGAAAAAGGGAAAAAGTAATCAATTTCAAAATAAACTTTTCACAAAGACGTATAGATCATGCAAAGAAGTAACTTCCAGACAGAAACTGGAAGAAAAAGCCCTTTCGAAACAACTACTTTTGTATAAACATTGAATTACACGAAAGAAAAAATACTTTCATATGAACATTGAATTATACAAAAACACTTTTTCCTATTCAGTTTTTACTACAAACATTTATCATGGAATCGAATCAGAAACCATTCACAGGATTAATACCTACATAATATAGTATTTTTTCAAGGACAAAACACAGGAAAGTCCCCAAGACGCTCCTCTAAGGGCAGTGCTTGTGCGAACGTAGCGATTCACGTTGGATTTAAATCGCTGGAGATTAAATTCATTTAGAAAAATGTTCTCAGGAAGTTTATTCCACATAAACGCAGTTCTTTCAATGGAAGAGTTCCTAAACAGTGAAGTTCGAGGTGTACTGAGTTGAACCTTAAAACGATGAGCAGCCACAGCCGTCGCGTTTGATGGAATCAAATGTGCCAAGTCACTTGAACACTATCCGTGAAAGTATCTATATAAGCGAGACAAATCTCAAACCTTCCTTCGATGTTCCAGACAATCAAGGTTGCAAGTGGTGTTCGTGACGGATGGCTCTTTTCTGGATTCCAGCAGCTTCTGGGTATGCTTAGGGGCTGAGCTCCATACATGAGAACAATACTTAAAAGAAGGTCTTATCTGAGCTTTATAAAGCATCGAAAATTGCTTAGGTGTGTACAGTTTTCTGGTTCGGAACACTGTTCCAAGCTTTTGAGAAGCAGCCTTTGCAATTCTAGGGACAAGATTGTGCCAATACTTATTGGTGCCCATGTTAACCCCCAACAAACTCATCGCAGTTGTATCTGTATCTGTAGAGTAGGGAGGGTGAGTGTAGGCCCACAGCACTTAGGCCCCACGTGGCCCATTGTACATCCTCCCAAGGAGTAGTCCTCCTAGGTCTAGGTCATCGTCCATCCTGTCCTTTCCAGGAAGGTGGACAGGTCTCTGGTAGACATCTGCTTTATATCGGCAGGTGTAGGCCAAGACTCGCCGAACACACACTCTCTTATTAACGATAACTCCGGACATTCGCATTGGACATGCCTGACAGTTTCATCTTCCTGTTCACACATCCTGCATTGAGGTGTGTCTACTAGCACTACTGAGTTGTTTCCTCAGTTAACAGTGTCCAGTCAGAAATCCTACTGTTAAGCGTAGATTTTTCCTGGTCATCGCCAGATATAGTGGNTATCCTTGCAAGATTGCATCCTTTGATTTCGTCCCATTTCTTTAGGGATTGAGCATGGGTGTGACGTTTGACTAGTTCCGCAATTGTCGAAGTCATTAGGCCTTAGGTGCCAGTGGGTCCTAAAATTCTTAGTCCAGCTGCGTTCTTGGCTAAAGAGTCGGCAATGCGATTACCTTTACTCCTATCGTGCCCTTTAATCCACCTTAGGATAATGTTACTATCTACCGAGGCTTTGGATAAATCTTGGTGGCACTCTAGTACTAGCCCTGAGGTAACATGTTGTTTGTTCAAGGCTAATAAGCCTTGTCTACTATCAGTGCAGTGTTATGTTTCTGCCAGAAATTTCTTTCCTGGTTATTTATTTTGTGGCGATTGAGATACCAGCCAGTTCTGTTTGAACCACGGTGGTATTTTTTTTCCCATTCCCCACTTAATCCTTAGGCTTAGTGATTTGGATAACAATCCACATCCTGGGGTTTCTTTTTGTTTTTTGAACCGTATGTATATATGCGTATTGCATTTGTAGCATCTGACTTTGTGTTCTGTTTTATTTGTATTTTGTAGGGTTTATTAAACACAAACCTGGGTTCAATTGAATTCCTGATTGCCTGCAGCAGAGGTTGCGCAGTAAGCGCTTCTCGTCATTATCGAAGTTTATGAAAGAGGTAAAATTTCAGTGACATGGAATACTTTTATCCTCAATGAAGGACATCGATGTTTCGGAATAAGACACTTGCCTTATTGTCTCTTCAGTACCGATCAGGATAACTCATGTCATCGATTAAAGTACGTAATGACATTCAGTTGCCCATATGAATTATTCCTAGCCACAAAAATCTTGTTTAAATTGAGAGGAATATATTTTTAGAAAGAAATAATTTTTTGGGGAAAAAGGCTTTTTCTCCAAGTTTGCGTCTAAAAGTTATTTCTTTGCATGATCTATACATTTTTGTAAATTGCTCTTTTCTTCTGTTTTGAAAGTGGCAAAAAATATAGAAATTTTCATTTCTCATTTTCACAATTTTTACACACTTCTCAAAATTTTTCGAAGTGAGAAATGTTGAAATCAATCAACACTATGTTGATAAGTGGTTGGTTTCATCTCGTTAGTTTCAAATAATTATTGTCCAACTCGAATGAAAATAAAAAAAGATTTTCATGTTGTGCGAATATTAATTAAAGAGCCCCTATGTAATTCATCAACTCCAGTCTGGTTCGCTCTTATAGTTGTTCAGTGTTGGGAGGTTGTAATTCGATTCCAAAAATAGTCAGCAGATGGTTTGATACCGAGTTTGATACGCTCACAGGATGTATTATCAATATTGTCAATCTCAAACGAAATTGATTGATACATACTCCTGTACATATATAAATAGAACAAATTTATCACATGTCAAACAATATAACCTGGCAGAGTAAATTGTTACCACCACTGCATGATTAGGATTTTGTATACAACTTCTCTTGCATACAATGGCTACAAAAATCGACAAAAAACTAGGAGTCCTTATTTAAAAAAATAAAAAGTTGAAGATGAAATCTAATAAACGAAACGTCGCATTGGTTTATAGCAGATTATAAAAAATATGCAACAGTTTCGACGGTTCCTTTGATTTTTTTTTTATATCATCTGAATTGGAGACAATAGAGCCAAAAACCGAAATTCAACAATTCTAGTTTTTGGCGAATATTTCAGAAACAACTACTGATATTCTCAATCTTAAAAGAGATTATTTCAGTTCCTCAGAATTGGACAAACGGGCAAATTACAGCTGCTCATCGCTTCGAAGGTTTCCTCAATTAACTCACACCCGACTTTTTGCAAACTCTTCTTCATCTTTACTCCATGCGTCTTTGTAGAATAAGCATCATGAGAATGTTATTTTTTGTTTCTACCTCCTATTTCAGGTGAACCACTAGATGCAGTTGACTCATACTCTATAAGAAGTATTGTATGAAACTATACAATGAAAAACAAATAAGTTATGAAAAATTCACGGAAGCGCAGAAGGGTCACATGTTTTTATTATTTGTTTCTTGGAAATTACGAGCGTCAATCTCGGAATTTCGACTTTAATCTCGAAATTTCGATTTCAATCTCGAAATTTCGACTTTAATCTCGAAATTTTAACTTTAAACTCAAAATTTCGACTTTGTCACCTTCAAATCTCGAAATTTCGACTTTTTCGAGATTAAATCTCTAAATTTCGAGATTAAAGTCGAGTTTCCGNTTCTTTGTGTAGTGGTGGTATTGTGAAATTAATTTAAGAGTCTCAAGACGCAGGTACCTAGAAGAGTTATCTTTGGTGTTGATAAGGATAACATTGTAAATATGTTAAGTTTGATCTTTCTTTTGAAGATGATCCCTTGGTGATCGAAACACGTGTAGAGGTGTTAAAAAATAACCGTTTGGCATTGGAAAAAAATCCAGTAATAAAAAGTATTTGAGATGTTTCTTTTTTACAACATTTTGTCCGACTCTGATGTCTTGCCTCGTTACGTCCGCCCTGTATAATTAACTCAGCGGAAAGATTTTCTTGTCACTAAGCTATCATTGTAATGGTTGTGTGCTAATAAAATATTATTTTCAGAATTTGACCAGTCGCTATCAATTTGATCGCTGAAGATGGAAGAAAAAAATTCCAAAAGTTACGAAAAATTGGCCGAGACATCGACTCCTCCGAAGAGCCCAAAGTCTCCTCTCAGACCTTTTCGGTTGAAGTTCCATAGAATGTTGAGCACCGGAAGCCTCAAACTGGGATCCCATTCTTCGCCAGGAACGCCTAGTTCTTTATCCTCGAGTTCTGATGGGAAACATTACAGTTTCGATTGCGAATCTATGGATTTCATAAGGAGTCAAAGTGGGTAAGTATATTCAGTTTCAAGTTTAGCTTTGTCCAGCGGTTTTACCGGCGCATAATTGGAAATGAATCACTGAGAGCAGAATCGGGGAAAGGAGCTGACATCGCGGCATGGTTCCTCGTATGTTCCTTAACAGTTCGGTTCTTCTCGGCAATATTCGGTTCACGTTCGGCTGTCAAGATAATAGGAAAACATCAGAAGAATCGGGAAAGAACAAAGTTTCTGCTATGAATATGCTTGCTGTTCCGGTCTTACTCTACTTCTTTTTAGTATATTGGACTGAGGAGTAACTGTATCAGCTCGACGTAAAGACTCGAAAAATTATGAATCTCCATAAGACTTTGCATCCTACGGTTCTATTTCCCTGGCCAACATGGAGGTCGTGGACTTTTGAGTTTGGAGTGTCTACATGACAGAATGGTACTAGATGGAGCGTGTAAAATCATCAGGAGTTCAGATCCCCTTTTTGCGTGGTCCGCAACCACGGGATAGCAGGAATCAGAGCATTTCTCTTCAAGTCTGCTGCCCGAGCGGTTGACGAACTCGGTTTAGTTGTCAACACTGACCGAAGCGATGAAAACTTTGTCACCAAGTTGTCTACAGAGATCACTTCACTCTTGTGGCAACACATGGATAAGCCGATAGGTCTTCTTTAACAATACTGAAGCACCTGACCTTGGCTTTCTTCAGATCGAGTGGGATGAGGCCGGAAAATGAGAGGTTCATCTGGGCCTGCCGAATGATGTTTCAAATACCTCAGTCTACCGTAGTCGCGTCATAGGTAAAAAGGTTCCTAACACCAGGTGCAGTCGATACAATATAAGCGTAACCTGTCTATGGCCTGGATCGATTACCGTAAGGCATTTGATACAATTTCGCATGAGCTCATCTTGCATTTGCTCAGATGCCTTGCGGTACCCGACAACATAGTGAGATGCATTGAACAACTGACACCACTTTGGCGAACTCGCTTCACCATAACATCCGGTCAAGCAAGAGTTCAAACAGGGTGGGTCACTTTCAGAAGGGGTGTATTTNTCATGAACAACACTTGTAGAATGCTATTCATGTAGCAAGTGTTTCCAAGATTACCTAATCCAATTTTCTTCGCAAGATTCGCTTCGCCCACTGATTCGTAAGGAAGATTATGTTCCACAGAATCTGCATCAGAACCATTTCTCAAGCTGCAATCGATCCTTGCAAGTGATGAAGGGTTTCGTAGAGGGATCCATTCGGCTCTTGCTCCGTGAAGCTCTTCCACTGAAAGGGAACCAAAACCACAAGGACTGCAGCTCATATTTGGGGGGCAAGAATGACCTATGTTCATTGACCGCACTGAAAAAGAAGAAGGTGGATCAATAACTTGCAAATTAACCTTGATAGGAGACTGATGAATATACCCATGTATCGACTTGTTTTGCAGAGATTTTAGTTCCGTACGTACTGAAATAAGGGCAATACATGATCTCATCAAAATAATGTGAAGGAGGAATAGTACCAAAGACCGAAGCAGCATTATCACGTTGAATAGCAATACTAATTCTTTCTATCAAAAAAGAGGCAGAACGGTAATCTTTCGTTGCTTGGCCTGATCTCCTTCCGAGTTCATGAACTAATACCTAATAGAGACTCCGGGCCATGAACACCAACAGTTTCAACCGCTACTGGATGGAACAGATAGTTATTACCAAGATTTTGGTATTTTTTTCGTTTTAATTTTTTGCCAGACAATGCTGCAGTTCCAACATATTTCGAACTTTCAGATAGATGGGAAGCCGCGACCGTGTCAAAGCAAGTGAAGTCCCATACCACAGGTTTACCGTATTTCGAAACTAATCTAATGTTTTTGTTCTCCATATCCATAATGCTGCTTTTTCAAGAGGGGATACCTTCAAAAAGCCGACAAATTCAATACCATTGAAAGGGAGTCTATAATTTTATAAAAATACAACAAATAGTAATTTGCAAGAGATTTGCTATTCAAATTACCAAATAATTTCAGTCTTCCCAAAATACTTGAAAGATGCAATATTTAATAATGTGTAATAATGATAAAAGTATGTTAGGAAAAACTGTAAGAAAATCAGAAACAGAGTTCGTTACTGTCCATGGAATCTGACTCAATTTTCCTTCCTTATAGTCTCCGAATAAAACATGGCGTGCCGATGAAGAAAATTGGTAGCAAGAAGAAATTCCATAGCTTTTTGAGGAAAAATAGGAAACGAAAAGTGAAAGAAAGTAATGAATGCGTAAATCAGTTGGTTCCCATCATAAAACTTTCGTTGGTTTCTGATAATGAGGGGTATGAAAGTTATTTGAGACTATTCGAAGCTTTGAATGCCTAAAATATAATGCTTTAATTTATCGAAACGCTGAGTTGGGCTTACTCATTAACTTATACTAAAACTACTTACTACCCACTAAGTATGCCAATTCGGATAGTTTCAATAAAACTTTGAAAATCCGGAATCACTAAATGCCGAAGGATATAGTTATAAGCAATTGATAATTGGGGATACACTTGTTTTAATTATTACAATCCTCAAGTAACCTGTCTTACCAAAATGAGGCTTTTGAAGAAGTTTATTTGCTTTATGGTGAAATATTCTCTTTGATGTACATGTAAAGTGAGTTCGAATTATATCAAGGAGGTTACGTACAGCGCCATCTGTCCGCGAATAGATCAAGTAATGATGCCGATAATTCTGGATTTACAAAAAAAACATACATACATACAGGTGAAGCTAATAAAAGCGTGTTAGAAAAAATAGAACTCACTATCTATCGAGAAATCTGATGATACACGTCCGGAAAGTTGATAACAAGAGTTCTTTCAACTCTGGTGGTATTTTATTCAGATATTTGGTGATGTGATAGGAAAATGAACGCCTATAAAATTCTGTGTGAAACATTGGGGGGGGTAAGCAAACTTTTTCGTCTAATGTTAATATTGTGTACATCACAGCGAAATGTTATCTTATTGTACAAATAGGGGGGGGTTTGGTATTTTAAAACTTTGTAAAAGAAGCAGGCAGAATGAAGGAACCTTCGATCACTCATATTAAGCTATTTGTTTGTTTTCAATGTATAAGAAATCCTATCGTATTTTTTGATGCCATAGATTAATCTCAAGCAACTATTTTGGAGCTTTTGAATTCGTTTGATACCAATGGAGAGTCACATAGTAAACTTTTAATTATTTTATTAAATAACTGTCTATTTGGATAAATCTGTTTGAGATTACAGTGTGCCTTTTTTATTCTTGTGATGATATGATAAGAAAATCTCATATCTTCGTCTGTCCACAAACCCAGATTCTTAACTATATTAGAACGTGTTAAAGGACCCCTCCAATTAGAATGCTATCAAAATAGTTTACAATAAATTCTTTTCTTGCATTCTTTCTACCAAAAATGATTGCAATATTTTTATTTGAATTCAGTTTTAGGCAATGATTATTAGAGAATTGCTCAAGATTATATAGATCAGAATTTAAAGCACTAATTAGCCTGAGAGTATTCTTCAGATTTAAATGACAAATATCATCAGCATAATAGTGCTGCGCGCATGATAGGAAGGAGCCCCAATAATGACCCTTGTGGTACTTCTTTATCGATTTTCATCACTTGAAAACTTCGGTCTTTTTGAATACACAAAAACTGATTTAGAAAATACAATGGCATTGAAATACCTCCACAGTCAGTATTGATAAATGACTTAGCTACAGCATTACTAATGAAGCTTTGCTACCACGACATGAAAAATAATTTCTGCATGTTCTAATTTACTACAAACCTCCGCACTAAACAGAATTTCTTTTGAAATGTAGTGAATTATAATAATTTTATAAAAATATCATTTTGTTTCCAGGAGCAGTTCTGCTGAAAATTCAAGACCGAATTCCCTGAATCTTTCGAAAAAACTCAGGTGAGAGCAAATTATTATTTGTCAGATTAATTTTCCAAAATCGGTCAAAAATTAAACAAATTCTTCAAATAAAAATGAGAAAAAATAGTGGCCCAAAGATATCGATACAGTTTGAATATTCTAGAGAGTATCAATTCCAATAGCAAATGACTTTCAAAAAAAAAATTTATTAAATAAAGCACATTTTCTCGTCGGTTTGATTTTTTCGTGACCCCGCAAAGTGAACTATTATTTTTTGCTAACTCAATCGGGAAACACACTCATTTCTATCAAAAAAATGACATTCCTCTAGAAATTGATAAGAAAACATCCTTCCACAATAAATATTGAATTGAATATTCTGAATATTCGAACATTTCCTGAATGCATCGTTCTCCTTTGACTTTAGTTTTTTGAGTTCAAGTTTCAAAAACCTTGTATAGATGAAATGAAAATTTTATACGTTTTGAATAATAATGATAAATGGTCTTTTATACATGTGTGTATAAGTAGTCATACAGTAGCATAACTTAAAACTAGGACCTAATGTAGGTTTCAACATCATGAACCAAAAGTAAATGTAGGTGAAACAATAATAAAGAAACATAATGAAGTAAAATTTATTGAATAATTTGATTAGGTTTAATTTGATTTAATTTAATTCAATTCATTATTATATTTAAAACTTAAAAGATGATCCTAGTGTTTTCCAAGGGAGAAATGCGAGGGCAAATGCGATTGTCCAATTTATCTTAAAATATATTGAGTACTTCTATTTTTATATCGGTCTGTACGTACCTGGACACGCAAAAACAAGTCGATGTTGTTCATTTAGACTTTCAAAAAGCCTTCGATCAACTAGACCATTATGACTCAGCAAATTGACAAAATTGGGACTCTCTAATCAACTGCTTACTCTAATTGAATCATATCTAGTTAACAGAAAACAATTCATTGAATATGAATCTTTCAAATCGGCCCAGTACGTAATTACATCTGGGGTACCACAAGGTTCTAATCTTGGACCTCTTTTATTTTTTATTTTTATTAATGACTTGGCCACCTCTTTGGATATTCCTAGCCTACTATTTGCAGACGACTTGAAACTATATTATAAAATCGACGACATTACTGACTGTCAACGTGTAGATACAACATGAATTAGATGTAATCAAACTTTGGTGTAATAATAATCATCTTTAACTGAATGTATCCAAATGTAAAATAATATCATTTGAAACAAAAAAGCGAACTTTAATGTACGATTATTCAATCAACAAAACTACAATCAACCGCGTACATGAGGTAAAAGATCTTGGTATAACATACGACAGTAAATTAACATTCACAACACGTATAAGGAATATGACTGCTGATGCAAATAGGATGCTTGGTTTTACTTACAGAAATGGAAAAAACATCAAAAGTATTGCCACCTTAAAATTTCCTGAAACTAACTGAATGTATCCAAATGTAAAATAATATCATTTAAAACAAAAAAGCGAACTTTAAAGTACGATTATTCAATCAACAAAACTACAATCAACCGCGTACATGAGGTAAAAGATCTTGGTATAACATACGACAGTAAATTAACATTCACAACACATATAAGGAATATGACTGCTGATGCAAATAGGATGCTTGGTTTTACTTACAGAAATGGAAAAAACATCAAAAGTATTGCCACCATAAAATTGCTATATTTTGCGTATGCTAGATCTAAGTTGAAGTATGGCTCTGTGTTATGGAATCTAGTTTACGACTACCAAAAAACATCAATTGATAGCGTGCGAAGGAAGTTCCTAAAATACTTATGTCTAAAAGTTGATGGTCAATACCCCACGAGAGGCATCGATCATAACATTTTGTTGACACGATTTGATATGACATCTTTGGAAAATAGGAGAGCTATCCTTGGTATACAATTCCTGCATAAATTACTAAACAACAATATTGACAGTACGGTTCTTTTACCCGAGATCAAATTTTCAGTACCTTCAATTATTTCATATATACTCTATAATAATAGCATTTCCTGTAACTGGGTACTCCTGTTGGAAATAAATTGCTTTTTTCTCTGTATTTCAATAGTCACAGTTACCCAAAAGGAAAAATATACTCAAGTAACAACAAAAATTTTTATTTTTTTTCAGATTACATATCTACCTAATACTAGTCAATACATAATGGATATGATATTAAAAATATTCTATGAATGGATAATAGATATATCACACATTGATTATTGAAGGTTCCACGCAAAAAAAATTCAAACAAAAATAGCATGATTGAAAGTATTTTTGATGATGTTTAACAGAAAATCGGAAATATCCATAAAATAGTCAAAAATGAAAGTATAACAAAACAGTTTCAAGTTTTATTTCACAATTGGTATTTTCTCTTGAAATATTGTTCTTATTTCAGTAGGTAGAATTCGTTGCTGATACACATACAAATGCACACAATTTAACTCAATTTCAAAATATTTACCCTGCACCCTGTATTTGTAATGGAATATTAGCGTCAGAAATTGGTAACATTTTCACTAAACTCTAATTATCTGTATTTACTATTCAAACGGTTATAAAATATCATAGATTTGTTAACAATAATGGCAACTATCTGACACGGAATTGAATTGAATCAAATATGGCATAAATGGAGGAAATATATTATAAATAAAATACTACAGATATAATAATGAAATGTTAGGAGTAAATCATAGAACCTAAATATGTTAATAGATACTCTTATTGTAGAACGGTCTCCTGACTTGATAATTCCTTATATATTAAAAATATCTTTCCGTTTACAACCTAGACCACATCCTTACAGGAAACAGTTTACCAGTTGTCATGTTTTATGGACGGTTTACCCATTGCTATGAGGTTTTATCGGAGCTATCTTTGAAAAATAGTGTTGTGAATCCGTAGAATATTGTTATGTCTTAAATTCCAATTCGAAAATAATGTATTTTGAGCTTGGTACATGAACAAGAAAAAAGGAGTAGGAGAAAAATGTTGTACTTAATTGACAAAACCGCTGTAACATATTTTTTTCTTAGATATCAGGTTATTTTACTCGATTTTTAAACTTTTTCATCTCATTCTCCACCCAAAAAAGTTCGAAATTGTGTTACCTACTTCAGAAAACGTTGACCTTGATAATAAAATGATATCTTTCAATTAGGTCCTTGATGTTGGAAATGTGTTTCCAATCGATTTACTTCACGCACGAAGGTCCAATTTTACCTGTCAATATACTTCTATATTCTATTATTGTGTGTAAAATACCCGACGTCTTCCAGAATTTTATACAGTGTGTTAATTTGAAAATGCATTTTCCTAAAAAATCCAGTAGTTATCCACATAAAATTTAAAAGTATTCAAAATTACATTATTTTCATCCACTTAGAGAATACTTTTATGTTTAATGGAAACGAGTGGTTCAAATACTGTTTTATGAAAATCCATATATTCCATCCTCTAGAAATCAAGGTACAATTATAAACAAGTTCGGAAACATCACTTCGTGAACTTACATTGATTATTTGAGATAAATTAAACTGAATACGTATTTTTATTTCTGAAAAATTATGAAGTAACAAATTTTTAATGAGTTATGAATAGTAGGAACTCTATAAAAATATTTCAAAGCAGATTACGTCACCCTTTCATGTATTCACTGTTTTCCACAAGATTTCATCAGTTAAATAATATTCATTTATGAGAAAATTAACGTACTGTCAGCATTTTTTAGATATTCATTCATCATTTCCAAGCTTGCTTCTTTTTGAAAAACTCGCTTTATTGTTTCTTAATTGAATGCTGAACCTTGTGGGGGAGATACTCCTTAGATGATTTTAGGACAAATTCTTCAAATGGAGCATAGGTACGCCACCGCTTTATACAACATGTTGAAATGTAATAAAAAAATAATTTCTCTCCTAATATCTCAGAAATAGCTATGGCATTCTTTTCAATTTTGGAACGTGCATGAAACTACACATAAAAATACATTTTTGCTATGGTAAAGGTTTTCTAATTGTTCATCAGTAGCATTTCTGTTAACACGCTCTGCCATATTGTTTATCAAAATCTAAGCCACTGCTTTCCCCGATTAAATATTCAATTTGTAACGGGCCTCTGTCTTCTCATAAAAATGGTCTCTTGCCTTTTTTTCATCCGGAAAACGGATTTTGAAGTAGAAAATAAATGCATTCATTTTCTTGTCCTATACGAAATCAGCTGTTGAAATGTAATAGGATTATTTTGTGGGGTAGACACATCTAGAGTGCTAATTTCGTTGTATTTTGACACTCTGTCTGTTCTGTTTAAAATATGTTTCTGTTTAAAATCTGTTTTTCCGTTAATCAGCTGTCGCCCCCATACGAACGACGTATGGGGGCGACATGTGCGAGCTAAGGACTAACGAGGTCTTACCTTTTAACGTGTGATTCCTAACACTAGCTACATACATAATATAATTTACTTCATAAAAATTTGTTTAATACTATTAGGGAGGAAATTATTTTTTCGTTAAATTCCAATATCCTATATCTCAAAAATGAAACGATAATTTTACAAAGTAATGCCACATTTTTGGTTATCTGAAATAAAGCTGAAGAGTGAGAGCTGCTTTCATAATAACACGTTATAGCGTTCCACGGAATTATTAACTTTTAATAAATGTTAAAATATAGAACGAAAGTAATTTTGTTTGCGAAAAATCATAGTTCTTAATGATTTCTTTTGTTTTTTTAACTTTCCTTGATCTGAAAGATGAAGATACTGTCATAAAATTCTACATTACAGTTGTGGAAGGTTAAAAACCCAAAGAAAGGTAGATGTTATAGTAATATTTGAAACTTCTGTGACATAATACTGTTCAAATGATCCGTATAATTTTTAAGATAAGATATCAAAGCAATGGATATTTGGAGCTAATATATTTATTCGAATTCTAGAAACGTAGAATATTGAGACATATCTGACAGAGACCCTGAATTATGTTTTTTCGAAGAGAAAAATCGAGAAATGCATGTTTTGTGACACAT